CAACCCTAACCCCCCATCCCAGCAACCAGGGGAACCTAACCTGGCAACCCTATGTTGTCTCTGTTAAGAAACATGATCAGGTAAGTTCCTAGACCCAAGCTGATTGACTAGGAAATTCCCCACAAGGACTGGCTTGGAGGAGCTCAGTGAGACATTCTTGGAAAATCCTCTTGGGGGAAAAATGCTTTTCCACACAAAACCAGCAAAGCATGTTCCTTCTTCATGTGTTTTTCTCTGTAGTATTACTCTTGAAGGTTCCTATAACAGGGTGCCCTTTCTAGACTTAGTAGATAGGTAATGCCGAGGAACATGCAGAGTACTTTGTGGCTGGGAGAAAAGAACTGAAATATTTTGATCTTAAAAAAAAAAATTAAAATTGTTTTTCCATTAAAAACTAAAAAACTAAAACTAACAAAAGGGGAGGAAATTAAGCTGTTCATATGCTTTGGATATTTGTCTACATGTTTATGGTTACATTCAGTTATTTAAGTTCCCTTTCTCTGCTCCATTTTTTTGTTTAGTCGGAGTTTGTTGTTGCTTAAGAAATAGTTCTACTTTTAATAAAGAGTCAGTTTTTTCCTTCTCATTAAAATTGAATATAAGTCCTTTTGGAATGATCTATCTGTACTGGACATTGTTCTTTTGAAGAAATGCTGTAATATTTCTGTATTGCTTCCTTTTCTTACGTATTTCATATGGAACATCTTTCAGTATTTTTATCTCCTCTTCTTGAATTTTAACTGTTGTAGCTGTGGATGCTTTAAGTATTAGGTCTCTTGTTGATCCTTTTGCAAATTTCACAAAAATTTCCCCTGGGAGATTTTTTTTTTTTTTTTTACAAACTCTGAATAGGTTCTGTAAATCATGTCAATATCTGCTTGTATTATTTCAGATTTGTTATTGATCAAGGGGGGGGGCATTGTTTCACTTATGATTTCTCTTAAATTCTCATCCTTTTTCTCTGAAACCCCCTGAAATCTCAGGACATAGAAAGATCTTTCCATTTGTAGTTGTTTTTCAGATGCTCTTTCTTTTTCCGCAATGTCCATTCTTTGATCTATTTCTTTGGTCTTAGTTTCAACGTTTTTTTATCTTTTTAGCAGACTTCTCTGATTTGGCTGTGGTTTCCTTAAGCTCTTTCTGTAAGATATCAAATTTCTGATTGAGGTTCATCAGCTGGTCCAGCAGAAGGCGTATGGCTTCTGAAACTGCAGTAGCTATCTCGCTGGTATTTTCCAGTCTTGTGACTGGTGATGCTGTGCTGGCATTTCCTGCAGAACCTCTGCCTCTGGATGCCATTTTTCCCCCTCACTGAGCCATTGTTTATATTTTGGTAAGAGTTCGTAAAAGTTCTAAGATTTTTCTATGGTGTAGATAATTAGTCCAGATGTATTCCGCTTTAAATAGGATGGGTTTTTAGTAGCTTAAGCCCGGTATGCTTCTCATATACGCTGAAGTTTTGCTGCGGGGTAGGGTTCTTCCTCCACGAGTCCCCCCCCTTCTCTATGGAGCTATGCCGTTTCACTATATTAGTATTTGTTCCTCCACCCTCTTTGCATATGTCTTTCTTTTTGAAACTTAACTCACTGTTTCTTTAATCGCTGGGTTGCTTCGCCATGTAGATAAGTCTTTTTATACAAGTCCTTGTACGCTCTGGTCTGGTAACATCTCTGAGCACCATTGCTGGCCTCGGGACAGCGGGACCTTTCAGAGCAAAAAGGAGCTCAATTGCCCAAGCCAGAACTTTGGGAGCGGCCCCTTCAGCGCTCCAGGCTAGAAGCTCCCTCCAAAAGCTTCATGGGGAGGTCAGGACTGGCCGATCCCCCTCCCTGCCGCCCCGATCCGAATCACCCCCATTGGAGCTCAATGGGGTGCGTTTGTCGTGAGTCGCCGCCAACCAGAAGTCCTCCCCTCTATTTTTTAACTGAAGTTTTCTTCAGTACTAGTGAAGTGTGGTGCCCAGCTTTGAAACAGAGGTGTCCAAGGAAGCCAAAACTGATAAGGGCCAGACAAATAAATCATATGGGAATAATAAATTAGCACCTGCTCTGAGTAAGTGGACTACAACTGTCTTTGCTTTCTTGTAGATGTAAATGAATGCTTGGACAGTGGGATTTGCAGCCCCAATGGTGAGTGCCTGAATAGCCACGGATCGTATTTCTGCATTTGTGCTCTCGGCTTCTCAAACGCTGCTGGTGGAGTCAGTTGCCAAGGTGAGCTCTTAGACGCTTGAACAGGTCTGCATTTCTTCCTTTGTCCTGTTTGCTGCAAGGTTTTCTCTCACACATGCCTGCTGTTCCTAATCATGGGGCTCAGACCTCAGTGTCTTGGAAGGGGCTGAACACAGCGTTACCAACCTTCACCACCAAGCCGTTGCTGCTGCAGCCTTCCATGCCATCAGCCCTGTTCTTGCAGGGGAGGACAGTGATGAGAAGGCCTCATGGCAGTGGCAGCCTCAAGTTTAAGATCTTGAAGCCTGCACAAACGTGTTCAGGAGCATGCATTGGTTCCAGGGCTTAATCCAAACTAACAGTGCTGTTCTAAACAAAGTCATACCCTGTTGTGGGTCAGCCAGGACTTCTCAGGAGAAGAGGACTCCTCAGGAGAAGAGGAGCCCTGTGTAGCCAGCCTTGAGTTAACAGGAGAAGCAGGAAAATGAACTGCAGGCTTGTCAGGATTCACAGCCAACATCTGATGCAGAGCCACCCTCCAGCCCTGATTCAGACGGTGAACCTCAGTTGGCTGTTCCCAGCCCACCAGTATCACCCCCACCCTTATGACACCAGCTGCTTGCTAATAACAAAGATGAGTAGTTGTAGGATTGCTTCTGAGCAGCTGGCTGTAAGCATGACCCTTAGGCACGGGGCTGTAAAAACCAGTCAAGAGAGGCTGTTAGGTATGAACACAACATGTATGATAGATGCTAAGCCACTGCCTTTGTCTCACATGACTTCTGGACCCCTGACCCTGGACTGAATGACCCTGCCTTGCCTGATTTCTGGACCCTTGACCCTGGACTGAATGACCTTGCCTTGCCCGGCTTCCCTCATCTATCTGATACTCAGAGCCTGCAAGCCAGTACACACCCTTCTAAACCCATTGATTTCAGCCCTGACTTGGATAAACCAGGCAAGCCTGATTTCATCGGATCTCGGAAGCTAAGCAGAGCCAACTCTGGCAAGTATTTGGATGGGAAAACTCCAGAGAATACCAGTGTCAGGAGCCAGAGGCAGGCTATCAAGCTACTTCTCTGAACATCCTCCATGCCCCAGTAGGAGTCGCCAGAGGTCACCATGACTTCCAGGCACGACCACACACACACAGTGCAAAAATATGAACATAAAAACCCATTGACTCCAGAATTACAGAGGATGTAACTCTGCTCAGGAATCCCAGACTGTGTGTCATGAGTGGGCTGATTCCAGTTAACCTGCACACATGAACTAGGCCTGGGGAAGCTCAGCCATCACTACTCGTCATAACCTTCCTGTATCTCTCCTTCTGCCTTTCTGTCTTAGGGTGGGCCACAGTGGAAAAAGTAATTAAACTGACATGCTGTCTTTCAACTGCATTCTGATCACTTCTGCAGATGTAGATGAATGTGCAGACCATTCCCGCTGTTTACGTGGTCAGTGCCTGAATACAGAAGGGTCCTACAGATGCTTGTGTCAGACAGGCTTCAAGTATTCCGAGGAAACGGATGACTGCATAGGTAAGAGCTGACCCCTGAAGAAGGGGGAAAGGCTACAGAGACCAGGAAGTTCGTGTTGCAGTGCAGGAAGAGTGCCTCTGCCTTCAGAACCTGGAAACTGTCCCTTTTATTCCTGCTCCCTCAGCCAGTTCTCATCAGGGTTAATTATCAGCCCCTGGACTGATACCATTCTGGATTCCCTTTGCTTGTGTTCCTTAGATCCCTAGGCTGACTAGGCTTGGGGGGAATGCAGCTTGTCATCGAGTCTCAGGTGGCACATCCTTCCATTTGCCAGGATACTACTTGGGGGTGTTTGACCCAGTTTATTGTTTTGCCTTTTTGTTTGAAATCATTGCCTTGGTCAACAGACGTAGATGAATGTGAAGAATACAGGAATGCTGTGTGCGGCACGTGGCAATGCCAGAACACTTTGGGCTCATACCGCTGCATTATGGGATGTCCACTGGGCTTCCATCGCACCCCATTTGGAGAATGCATCGGTAGGTTCCGTACAAACACAAACAGCAAAACATTTAAAACATTGTTGTAGCAGTCACTGTAGTTGTGCTGCCATCAGGGATTATCAAGGGTTGTGATTGATGTCATGAGCTGCCCCGACCCCGTATGCGGGTAGGGCGGGAGATTAAATAAACGAACAAATAAATAAATAACAATATTGTGCAGGAGGGAGGGATCACTTATGGAACACCGAAGGAAACAAAAAAGTCTTCACCCACTGATGGGCGATGGCAACAGAAGTGGACAGGTGAATCCCCCTGGAAGGAGAATTCCAGAGTCTTGGTGCCATGACCAAGAAGGCCCTCTCCCAGGTTGCCCTCTGCCTAGTCTTAGAAGGCAGGGGTACCCAAAGCAGAGCCTCCAAAGATGACCACAGTGGGTGGGTATGTTCATAAGAGTAGATGGTCTTTCAGGTACATTGGTCCCAAACTAGACAGGGCTTTAAAGTTCAACATCATCACCTTTAATTGTGCCTAGATGTTATGCCAGTAAAGGTTATTGGAATTGGAATTGTGCCTAGAAACAAACTGGGGGGCAGTGTAGATTGGCCTTGACTGAAGTGATGTGGCTGAATCCTGGCCGAAACATCCTGTACCCATTGAAATATCTGAATACTTCCCAAGGACTGCTGCACATACAGCTCATGGCAGTAATCTAATCTAGATGCCAGCAGGGCAAGCACCACAGTGGCCAGAACTTTTCTCCCCTGACAAGACTGCAGCTGGCTAACTGGTAAAAGGTACACCTGACTCACATCCACTCCAAAACTTCCTCCAGGCACTGGTTCGGGGTTTCTACAGCCTCCCTGGGATCAGCCAGAAGTGCAAGATGGAGCTGAGTGCCATCTGAATATTTGTGACAGACCAACCCAAATCTCCTGATGACCTCACCAGGCAGTTTTATGTAGATGTTGAAAGAGCATAGGGGACAAGATGGAACCTTGTGGGACCTCATAGGCCAAAGGCCAAGGGGCTGAGTAGAGTCCCTCAGGACCACCTTCAAAAACCTGCCCTCCAGGTAGGACTGGAACCACTGCACAACAGTTGCATCCCAATCTCAGCCTGTAAAGGCAGTCCAGAAGGATACCATATGATTAATGGTATCGACCAACAGGGCACCAGCCACAGAGTTTGAGAACGCCAGAGACCAGAAAAATCTAGTGGCACATTAAAAATGAATTTATGGTGGCATAAGCTTTCATGAGCTGGAGCCCCCTTCATCAGATGCATTAAGTGCTATAGCTGGTGGAAAGATTTATGCTCAAAGCTACAAACATTAGGAGGGCTGAGGCAGATCTTGCAAAGAGAAGTCGGAAGGCCAGGTTTCCTACGATGAGCTGTGTGACATATTGCAGAACACAAATGAAAACAAGATCCAGTTAAATAAGTAAACACACCTCTTAGAATGGTTTTTGATCACTCCCAAACACTGGGGAATCAGCAGAATAGGTTGAATCTGAATAATGTACATGGACCTGTAAGGAGTAACAATAACTTTTTGTCGCAAGCTAACCATCCCGAGTCTTTACTGCTTTCAGGTCTGATAGCGTCATATCTGCTTGTGAATTCCAGCACAGCAGCTTGTGACTTGAGTCTTGTCTTGAGATTTCTTTGCTGACATCCTGTGAATGTTCAGGAAGATTGCAATGCTCCCTCACTGTTTTCTGAGGATTGAGCAACCCTGCAAGAGAAGGGACATCTTAACCCTGCAAGAGAAGGGACATCTTCCAGGAGAGGTGGATCCGTGGTGTAGTGGTTAGAGTGTCAGAGTAGGATGTGGGAGAACCAAGTTTGAATCCCCACTCTGACATGGAAGCTCAGTGGGTGATCTTGTGCCAGTCACTCTCTCTCTCTCCATCACAACAGGGTTGTTGTGAGAATAAAATGGAAGAAGAGGAAACTTACGTTCTAAGCTGCTTTAGGTTCCCATTGGAGAACAAAGTGGGGCATAAATATTTAAAATAAAATTTCACAGGGAGACTCCAATAACAATTTAAGAACAGAAGAAGAGCCCTGCTGGATCAGGCCAGTGAGGGTCCATCTAGCCCAGCATCCTGTCTCACACAGTGGCCAACCAGTTCCTCTGGAGGGCCAACGACAGGGCATGGAGGCCGAGACCTTCCCCTGATGTCGCCTCCTGGCTTTGGGATTCAGAGGTTTAGTGCCTCTGAACGTGGAGGTTCTCCTCAGTCACCATGGCTAGTAGCCACTGATAGACCTATTCTCCATGAATCTATTGAATCCTCTTTTAAAGCTGTTTATTCCTGTGGCCGTCACTATGTCCGCTGGTAGTGAGTTCCACATTTTAATCACTCTGTGTGAAGCTGCTAAGTCGGAATTCCTATGCAGATTGGATTCTATCAGGCTTGGACTCAGTAAGGACGTGGGATCGTTATGTTACTACAGGCAGTAATTGTTCCTTATTTCAATTTTCTGTGCAATCTGTTTCACCAGTGCTTCAGTAGGTAAGAGTGATTCACACCCAGTCTGAGTGGAACATTAACTTGTTTGACTGGATCTTGTTTTCTTTTTTAATCTATGTTCTACAGTGTCACACACTTTGGTCCTGAGGAACTGGGCCTTCTAACTTCTTTTTATTATCACTCCATTCTCCCTGCCCTTATGCTTTTTGTAGGTCTGTGAATAAATGTGTCTCCCAACTGAATGCAGCACTTCACCTTTTTTCCCTTGTTTCATCTCCTCTTCCAGGGGATGTTTGCTAGAACTTCTGGGTGTAGTGGCTTCTGGGTGGCTCTGGCTTACAAAAGGCTTTGCCACAATAAAGTGATTAGTCTTTAAAGTGTTAATTATTTTAAAATGTTTATGCAATGAAATCTTTAGCTGATATTCTGATACGGTCCTATCATACTTTTACTCCCAGTGCAATTATCCCATGAGTGTGAGCTATAACAGAAGAATCACAAGCCCTGAATTTAGGCTGTTTCTAACATATTTATATTTGTAAAACTTTCAAGCTCCCTGCAAGTACAGTTAACAAAAGAAGATGAAAGGCAGTTAGACATCTTTGTACAATAAGACCGCCTGTGACCTACCCATATCCAGCATCATTGACACCATTGCATATTGCTTAGATATCCCAGAAATCATATGCATCTAACTTGTATTTTGCTGCAGCAAAACACTTTTTATTTGTATTTTACCCTACTGCAACGTATATTCTCCTTTCCCCTTGAATTCTCCTTTATTCCCTGCTCATTGGTCTACATTCTCCCTTTTCCAAAGTCTTCCTTATTCCTCTTGTTTGATTGCTTACTTCATTTATACCCCACCTCTCCCCAATGGGCACCCAAAGCAACTTACATCCTTCTTCTCCATTTTATTGTCACAACAACTGCTTGAGGAAGGTTAGGCTGAGAGTGTGGGACTGGCCCAAAGTCCCCCCCACCCCCCGGGAGCTCCCATGGAAGACTGGGGATTCAAACCTGGGTCTCCCAGATCCGAGTTTGACAGTCTAACCACTTAACCACACTGCCTTTTGTCTTTCCAATTCTCCTGTTTACTCTTCTGCTTTGGTCTGGTCCCCTTACAGAGCAATCCTAAGCAGAGGTATACCCTTCTAAGTCGATTGACTTAGAAAGGTGTAACTCTGCTTAGGATTGCACTGTTAGGAGTTCAAGTATAGATCCTGTTGCAATGGGCAGTAGTTGCTTTCCTGTAGCTGTGGTGCAGGACAAGTGTGGGGGCTGGCTTTCTGAAAAATTGACTCCTTTTGTTTTCTGTAGATGTTGATGAATGTGCTAATGAGACGCTTTGTGGAAGCCATGCCTACTGTGACAACACAGAGGGCTCGTTCCGGTGTCTGTGTGATCGTGGCTATGAAAACTCACCTTCAGGCCATGACTGCATTGGTAAGGGTCACTCAGTGTTCTTGTTTGGGACTGACAGCCTTCTAACATGTTCCAAAAATTTCTTTGTGCTTTTGAAATCAGCATATGTTTTTATTATTGTTGTTATTATCAACAGTGTTTCCAGTTCTGATCATTTTGCTCCAAGGATTTCTGGGGTAAAAAGGTAAAGGTAAAGGTTCCCTTGCTCGAAAGCCAGTCGAATCCGACTCTAGGGTTGCAGTGCTCATCTCCGTTTCAAAGCCGAAGAGCCAGCGCTGTCCGAAGACGTTTCCGTGGTCATGTGGCCAGCATGACTAAACACCAAGGCGCACGAAATGCTGTTACCTTCCCACTGAAGTGGTACCTATTTATCTACTTGCAATTTCTTGCTTTCGAACTGCTAGGTTGGCAGGAGCTGGAACTAGAGACAGGAGCTCACTCCGTCATGCGGCACCCGGGTCTTGAACTGCTGAACTACCGACCTTTCACAGCCTGCAGTTCAGCGTCTTAACCACTTGAACCACCACAGCTCCTACAGACATTTTAAATAACGAACAACATTCTGAAACAATGCGGCTCAGAAATTGTCAGATGAAGAGCTCAGTTTCTTATGTTCAGTTTTTAGAGGAAGGGATGGGGGTAAGATAAAGAATAATGGGTTGGATCCTGTGGATCTGTTCCACTAATGTTAGTGCCTCCTTGGTGCAAAGAGCCTTTCACCATGGAAGAAGCCCTTGTGTTGAAGGAAAGCTTGTAGCATTGGGGGAAATTGTCACCTTTAGCAGAACTAATCCCTGGGATCTGACCTATTGGAGGAATGCGTAGGTGTTTCAAGGAGAATGTAGAATTTCAAGTACTGATTTCAAGTACTTTTGTATCTTACAGATGTAAACGAATGTGAGCTCATGGTTGCAGTGTGTGGAACTGCACTCTGTGAGAACGTAGAAGGAGCCTTCCTGTGCCTGTGTCCCAGTGACCATGAGGAGTATGATACAGAAGCCGGAATGTGTCGCCCCCGATCAGGCATGGGTGAGAGTCCACTGGGCAGAACAATACAAGACAGAATCTGAGGTGCTGGGCTAGCAGGGAAAAAAAAAGAACTGCAGGTTCTTCTAACAGATTTGTGTAAAATCTGCACCTGGTTGTTAAAATTTTGATTTTGGCTTCTTTCATGAGACCTATGCTCAGTGTGATCTACAGATCAGAAAAATCTGATTAGATCAGGACTTTTATCTAATCAAGTCATGGCTTTTTAAAAACACAAATGACTCCAGTGTCGAAAATAGAACCACATGACAATTCAACCACACGTCTTTTTGTCTACTGAAGACAAGCACTCAGGAATGTTAACTGCTGTGTGAGTAGGCAGGGCTTGAAATCTCTGTGCCTGACGTCAGTGCTCCCACTCTCTCTCTTTTTTTAAAAAAATCCCCGGAGGGATATTTTTTATTATTTTTATAAGAGTACAAAATTACAAAGAAAATATAGGGAAGGGGATTACATTTAAGGATAAAGGATAGATAACCACACTACACTAAAAACCCAAGAGGAGGAGATCATATCCATGTTAATCTCTGGTCTGTCTTCTTGAGAATCTGACCACAATTTCTCCAGGTAGGCTATTTTTTTAATATAGTTGGAGTATGCCCTATAAGCAGTCTCCATCTCTTTTACTACTTCATCCGCTGTTGAGCCTATTGCTGGAGCAATGATCTCGCTGAGCAACTTCCTCAGATCCTCTTTCGCCGATTCAGGAACTCCCTGGAATCTGAGAATCATGTTGGCTTTTTCCATTTGTAGCTGTAACAAACGGTTTTCTTGGAAGTTTTGTTTTGCTTCAACTTCCCCCATTCTTTTCTTCATTTTCTTGTTTGTGGTGTCTATCTCTTTAATTCTCTCAGTCGTATGCTCCACCTTCTTCGCCGTTTCTGCCAGTTGGAGCTGCTGGGACACGAAGTTTTGATTCAAAGAAGTCAGTTGCTGGTTAATACCATCGAGTTGCTCCATCACCAGCTTGAGCATATCTGCTAACATTTTCATGACGTCTGCTCCCTCTTCCGTTTTTGGGCTTGACTACCCACCGGTTTAACTTTAAATTTTCTTTGAGAGGCTGCCATTTTATACGATTGTTTACACTTTCAAACTGCTTCTCTCGGGCTTGAAAAATCGCCACCTCGATGTCAGCGCTCAAGTAAGTCTCTCAAAACAAAATCGCTGCTTCCCCCCCCTTCCCCCTTTGTTACACTTATGTGTCCGTTCGCATAAGAGGCGTCCCTCTTTGCACTCCGCTTTTCCTACAGGGGGGTAGTTCGCTTTTAAAACATTCTGTTTATTTTGAACTCACGTTCATTGTTGGTCATTTCTTTGACCTCACTCACAATAATCAATATTCCGCTCGATCTCCAGTATTTGTCCCAGTCGAATCAGCTTGTGCCCGAGGGCCACGCAGCAGCAGGACCATCATGGTGGAGGGGAGCCTCAATTGTCCGGCATTTAGCCGTTGAAGAAGCTACCCCTCAAAAGCCCTATGGCCTGGAGCCTATCACAAAGGCTCCGTGTGGGTGCTACTTGAGGTAGCACCCCTCCGTACCGCTGATGTGCGAGTCACTCCTCCGAGGTCTGGGGAGAATGACCGCCATCGCTGATCCATAGACCGGAAGTCCAGTGCTCCCACTATCCAGAGAAGGTTCTGCTTTCCAGCAGAGAGAGCAACTTTCTAAGTTTAAGCTGTGCCTTTCCCATTTTAGAGAGACCATTCTAACGGTTTCCAATGCACACAAATTTACAGTAGATGTGCTGGAAAGAGACTAAAAAATTTCACTCCAGAATAGCTACCTCAATAGTTTGGACTACGACAGAAGTCATCCAAGAGAGCATCATGCCCAGGAGGACAGCCAGGAGGGTGCCAGTCCAGCAGAGGATCACTGCAGTGACCATTTGGACAAGGGAGCAGAGTCCACATTCTTATCCTATAGCACAAGGAGAAGGCTTGTCACCAACTACCCAGGGATGTGTGACAGAAGGATATTATTATTTCCCTAAGAGGGCAGTAGGCATACTGCCCCCATTCCCTCCCCTCCAGCATTTGCAGTGAATTCCCACATCCCTGAATTTCTTTAGGTAGATCAAGGAAGTGGTTGTGAGGGACACCAAGGAAGCATGGTGCAAGCCCCACACAAGGGAGGGAGATCTTACAAAGATATCCCACCAGACTTCTTCCTCAGTTTCATCCTTCTGCTTTTCTTTACCAGTCAAAAGATCCTCAGAAGGGCCATTCTGTATGGAAACACTGAAGCTGGAGATCTTCCCATGCCCCTTTCCCCCCATCTCACGCTGCTGTTTGGCCTAGTCTTCAGCCTGAAGAGCATTCACCAAGCCCATGACAGTGCTGGTGACAAACCTGAATTGGAGAAATGCATGTGTATCTATTTGTCCATCCCAGACTAAACTCCTAGGGCAGAAATGTTGTAGAAATTAGACTGGTTTGCCTGAATTCTGAGGGCATGTCCTTTTGCATGCTCTGTGAACCTTTTTTTTTTAATTTTTCATGGCCTCCTACTAGAGAGCATAGGCGTAATCTTCGTGGGGGCAGGGGGGCGTCAGCCCCCCCCCGAAATTTTCAGGAA